GGGACAAAACTCAATTAAATATGCATGCGGAAAAATGGAAATTCGACGGCATCGGAGGCGCAGACTGGTGGAAAACGGTGGCGAAATCTCAGTGCGGGGTGAGCGACCTGCTTATTGTTATTCTCGTGTAATAAAATGAGAGAGGGGCCAGATGCCGGGGTCTGTGAGGGGCTGAGAGGGGCTGCGTGTCACTGCGCGGGTGTCCATCAGTGGCTTTTCGCTTGACTTCTCCAGGGCCCTCACAGCATACACTGCAACTCAATGGGAAACACACAAACATTTCCTGAGGTGTACAGTTTGCATAAGTATTTAGATATTTTCAGCGGAATTGTTATTAAATATAACAATCAGCATGTTACCATCTATGAAAAAAGAAACTGAATTGGCCTCAGTCTCTGTATTTACGGTAATCTACAAACTTATTGTCAAACTAGTCATGGGTCTCAGGCAAAAATGCTTCCTGATTTGAAGAAGGATTTATGAGGTCTTTTTCCCAATTAAATGACACAATATTTTGATTTACATTACTTAATTGCTATGGCGACAGCAGGCTGTTGCCATAGCTTGAAACCCATGAATATTGTGTCTTTAGCCTGCTGGTGCAGACTGTGGCTTAATTGTGGCGTCCATGAGGTCAGAATGATTGAATGAATGAATGAATCGGGATCGTTACCATAGCGATAAACAATTATAAACAGACTATTATGAATACCAAAATGATCTCAAAATGTTGCATATAGGAAGCTGAAACCCATGGATTGAGTATTGCACCTATCCATCTCTAAAAAATTCTATCTATTGTTAATAAAAACATATTATATTCCCACATTATTTCAGTTTGTGTCTCGGTGACTTCTCTAAATGTCTCCCCTGAGAGTTTTCTCTGCACCGAGCTGCAGCGCCGTCGATTAATCTGCCCCAGGTTCATAAAGTTCTTACCAGGCTTTTTACATTTCACTAGAGCTGCTCCAGCCCTGGTTTACATACTGTCTACTAATCCAGGCAGCCCTGTTTGGCTTAATTAAGAGCAGATATTGCGGGGGGCTTGTCCCAGTGTCAGTCATGTCGAAAACACAGCAGGGATCTTAGAAGACGCAGTACCTGTGTTTGATTAGCTTTAAACGGCTAAATATCGACATCGCTCACGCCGTGGGGAGTCTTTAAGTTTTTCTCTGGCTCTTTAACTTAAATCATACATTAGAAAAAGTTGGGACTGTTGACTTTGATTGCAGTCTTCGCACGTTCATACAAATAAAGCACTTCCAACAGAGTTATTAGGGTCTGAAATGAAACTTGATTGGACACAATATTTATGCTGGAATATATAGGCAATGAATAGATATCAAGATATCAAGAAAACTATATGGCACTAAAACAGATAAGAGTCTGAGCAGGTCTACTATGAAACCTAATATGCCCTATACCGAGAATAATACTATCATAATACTACCAGTACAGTGTATCCGCAGTGATACATACGCCTCTTTGAGCTTTATATTATCATATTTGTTTATTTGGTAATAAGCAAGTACATGAACCAGAAATATTTGAAGAAAATATATACCAGTGATGATGAATGGTAGTTATAGAACATTTTAAGAAGTAAAATTTGTAATAGCACTTTGTTCCTATTAGAGATTTTGAAGTAACATTAAAAGTGTTGGCCCAGACATTGCACTGGTGTCATCTCCCCTTGACAAGAAGCAGCATCCTAAAATAACTTTGTCTTTTTTGGAGCAAACTTGAAAAAGACCTTGCAGTGGTCCAAACTTCACTTTTTGCTCTTCCCCTGCAGGTTTTGGCCTTATACAGACATTATATGGCAGTGGATAGTGCAGCCCTGCTTTGCCTCCAGTAAAACGAATGTCACAGCTAACATAAGCAGGGAGAAGGCATTTGTTTCAGCTCCTGTGTACAAATTCAAAGTGTTTTTTTTTTTTTTTTGAATTTTCCTCCACTGTATTGCTTACCGAGGTGTCTGCTCCTTTGACAATTAGCACACCAAGCTAAAACAGGCTGTGAATAATGTCCAGTGCGTGTGACAGTTGTTGTTGTTCATTCTGATATTCATTAATAAGGCAGAGATTGCTTACTGGACTCCTGGAAAGGTTTGTGTTTGGAGGTGGGGGGGTGGAAGAAGTCAGTCCCTCTGGGGAAAGTTGTTCTTTCATGTAGGTCCCAATAGATTTTATCTCATTGTACGCTATCATGCACACAAATGACTTGAGGTAAACAGCTTAGCGTTACCATAGCAATGCCTGTTGTAAGCAATGGTAAAAAGGAAAGCGTGTGGACAGAAACCCTTAGCATAAATAATACTTTCGACAGCTTCCATGAACCACTGAAGCGTGGGTCTCCGTGGGGATGGCTAACAATATTTAATTTGTTGGAATAGACTTGCACCTTAACAATAGAAATAATAAGTCAAGATCATGTTAACTGTAGAGAAACAAGAAGTTCAACTCTTTGCAAATATAGTAGCAAGAGTACTTCAATAACAGTGGAATACTGCCAGCTGTAGTTGCAACACTTTTAGAGTGAAGATATAAAAAAAAATATTAGTATAGAATCGCAACTTTTGTGTCTAGTTTTATATTATATTACGTATTTTTTCTTTGCAATCTGGAAATCACCATACTTTACAATATGTTGCATACTGGACATACTGGACTAAATCGAGAGAATAGTCCAGTGCCTTGGTCGTGGTCTATGATAGTAGTGTTCTACTTTTGTCATCAATACTCTGGTCTGGTATACTTAAAACCTGGCTTTTGTTCAACACTGTAAATAGTCCCTAAACAGCGATGTAGGGGTCATTTCCTACAAGGAGCTGGAGTTTTCAATGCAAAGGAAATGGGTAGTTAAAGCATGAAATACTGAACGCCGTAAACAGAAAAAGTGACCTCCTCTGCAACACCCAAATGACCTCAATCTTCCTTGTGGAAAAAAAAAAATCGTGAAAATTTATGTCTTCCACTTCCTAATAGTTTTTCCAGCTGATTTTTCTTTCCCCAAAATTGCTGTCTTCTAAACGCTGACCCTTTCACCTCATGCCTGCGATTGTCTAGCACTAAATTGTACAGTAATGTGCTACCCCCCTCAAAACGCCATAACTCCTGCATTCATTGTTTCATACAGGAAGCCAGCAGAGTAAATAGTGTAACTGAGAAAGCATGTGTGTAGTGTTGGGTACATTGTCATAGCACGGGGCTATCTGCAAATTGTATATATCCTCTAATGATTTTGAGCTTTGCAAAAGAAAATGAAAATGCGGTTTTATGTCACGCTGGTGCGATTTACATAATGCCGGCAATGGCTCACGTATGATTGTGCGTGGCTCTTTATGGCATAGGGGCAAATGAAGAGGAGAGAGTTTATTGGAGAAAGTCGATTGGGTCTTTAAGATAGAAGTTAGCTACTGTTGATATTGCACATTTCTCTCCATAAAAAAGGCGAGTAGCAAGTTTGAAATCACGTTATTATTTCAGTTTTTAAAAGTAACTGTACTTGAACTTTTTGCTGTTCCAACTCTGACTGTGCACAGAAATATATGACTCAACTAATCTGTTCTACTTTTAAATAACACATTGCTATATTACGCACAATTCTCTGCTGCTCTTTGGATTTTACGTAGTTATTTCGATATGTCACATTTCTCTTGAGTTTTTAAAAGTAACAATACATTAACTTTCATATATTTGCAGAACTTTTTCAAACTCGCAGTGTGTACAGTAGATGACTCAACTAATCTGCCCTACTTTTAAATACCACAATGCTATATTACTCATAATTATCTTCTCTTTGGTTTTTACGCCGTTATTTATACTCGATAATCATCTCTTTGTAGTCTAGAGCGTGGAAAGACCTTGGTGGTAGTGGGGGGATATAAAGTAAAAGGTAACAGAGTGCACTTTCTGCCCTAAAAAGGAAGGCCCTGGATGAGGAATGCCACCAGCAGCTGTTCGTGCCTCATCACAGGACATGTTATAAAGATAGCCCCACTTGGGTTGAAATAATGCCACCCATTCCTGTCCCAAAGCATGCCCTATTGTTCACACAGAGGCCACACTGGGGAAAATGTCCCGGGACTCTGCTCTATGTCTTCTTATGTAAAGCATTTTTTACATTTTGTACCTATAGCCCGCCTTTATGTCATGGAACAACAGGTTCAACTCAGAATTCAAAGGGAGACCGCCCAAAAATAGATTTAGAATAACTGGCAGTACAGAAGGTGCACTATGTAGACTATGTTTTCTGGTGGAGGATCCGTCACCTGCTTCTCTAATGAAAATATTATTGCTACTGTCTTTCATTTATTCAATTACAGGCATTTTTATTCTCCGCTTGTCTTGATCAAGATTGCTAAATTTTTTGTGGAACATTATAGGCAAAATTATAACATCTACATTGAGAACAGAAGATTATTTACCTAAAAACTCACATCACTTTAATTAAACCCAATTATTGTGTACAATAGTTTAATAACATTTGTAATACGTTATTTTTATTTTACATTGCCTTTTTATTGCTTCATATTTTTTACTAAAATAGACAGGCCTTTCCAAAGCAACGCTAAAAAGGTCTAAAAACAGTTTGTGTCAGTTGGGACAGTGTGCAGCCGTCTCCCTGGCAGCAGTAGAGCCTCTTGAGGTGAGAGAGAACATTTGACAGAGGCCTACAGTGGTGTGAAGGATTATGTGGCTGTGTTGGGCTCTAGTGCAGTAGGGGGTCTGATACTTATCTGTCTGAACTCACTGTGGCTTGTTCTGCTTGTTTTCCACTGGGCTGACCACAGACATATGTACTGTAGTGTCTCAGGGTGGATGTGAAGAGCTCACACAGGTTAAGAATAGCAGCAGCTGCAGCAGCCCCCATTGTGCGGCTCAGATTGTTTTGATAAAGGCGCATATGTACAGTGTCCTTAGCAGTTAAGTGTATTGTTAAATGATTATTTCATCTATAACTTATTTCCCTTTCCTCTTTGTTCTTGTGTCCTGCAGCTGAAAGGAGTTTATGCACTGAACCGACCTCAGGAAAACCCAAGATGGCCGCCAAAAGGAAAGGTGGCCTAAAACTCAATGCTATCTGTGCCAAGCTGAGCCGCCAGAATGCCGAGGGAGACCAGAGCGTAGCAGAGAACAGTGAGAGAGGCAGTTCCCACTATGACGATAATGAGACCAACTTCCCCGAGAGCCTGAGCCTGAGCCAGAGCCTGGAGGAGGACCAGAAGAGGCGCGAGGCCATCGAGAAGTGGGTGAACGGAGAGTACGGGGAGGAGCCCCTGGGCGACTGTGATGATGAGGAGAGCTCACTCAGAGTCAGTAATGACGAGGACTGCCCTCCAGAGGGCGTGTACATGGTACAGCCCAAAGGCTGCAGTGATGACGAGGACAACACGGAGGAGGCAGAGCCACTCACCGGCTCTCAGGACGACAGTTACCATGACGACAAAGACACAGAAGACAGGCCCCCCAAAGACACCTCCTACATGCCGAGTGAGGGCCAGAGCCGTCCACAGTTCTCCGCTCCAGGTAACTGTTCTGGTCACCCCCGTCAGTGTGTCGACATCAGTGAGTCATGTCCCATTAAAGACACTGACTGTCAGCAGAAGGGAAACTCAGGTCACAAAATCATGTCAAGAAATAACCAGATGAAATTTCAATAAAACATTAGTTTCAGTTTGGTTAAAGTGAAAGAGGAGTTACAGTGGAGTTTAAATGTTTGAAGATGTTGTTAACATTGGCAGTCGCACAGACTTATACTATTCTCCCATTAAGTTTCTGGTTGCTTCATCAGTAACAGAATCCTACGGCATAAACTGTGCCGTGACATTTCTTGGAGCTCGGTGAAATGCTACCTTTCAGAGAAATGCCCTGTAGGCTTTGGATTTCGGCTATTTGTGCAGATGAATCGGCAGCAGCAGCATGTAAAAATGTAAAAACATGTAATGGTCCAGTTCAAGTGCTGTACTCAATAGCCCAGCGCTGACTGGAGAGCAGGTGACATATACTTAAGTGAGCCTATTATTGGAAAGAGCCTCCCCGCTGCTCCATTATGAATAGGCCGGCACAGACACAGGGGGACAGGGGAACTAGTCTGTGTGTGGCTATGGCGTATGAACAAATGCATAAATGGAGTAGACGTACAACATGCCTGTCTGTGCTCTGGCAGCAGCTGAGGGCCAAAGCAGGGCTGGTCCACGCTAAGCTTCATATTACACATGGATTACATACTGCGTCTTTGATTTTCCTCTAAGCTCACTAAAGTTAGACCCCGCTCCAAGCTCCTCTGTTACAATGCACAACCAAGGAGTTCAAGTGGTTCTGGAAAGCACCTTTTGGCAAATTCACTTTAACAGCAACAGTCCAAATCTGAAGTAGTAGTTCATTTTATTTTTCATTTGTGGTAGAAATATAACAAATATGTTACTTGAAAAATATTATAAATGAAATGTATGTACTGCAAATATTTAATATACTTTACCATGCTGTTGCCACTACCACAGCTACAGCCTCTATCACTTTTCCCCCCTTAACCACATTTTATGCCTTCTCAAAAGTAATCACTATAGTTACTTTTCAACTTTGCTATCTCAATAAATACTCTTATCTCTGCACTTTCGACTATGTTTTATAAAAATCCTTTAATAATTGCACTCGTGATCACAGTAACCCCTTATTTAATCATGGCATTTTCCCTTGTAATAATTTCACCATTATCAAACTGATAAGAGGTACTTTCAAGCAGAATATATTTACAGCAAACAAACTTTTAGTGCATTTTTACACTCCCATGACCTTGAATCTCTTTCTTAGTTTCAACCAGTACACCGCTGTTAAAAATACATTGTAAAACGCTGTAAAAACACGCTCAATAATGAAAGATAAAGAAACAAACAGAGGAGAGAGAGAGCATTGTGCAGGTGGAACAGGTTGTTGCGGTACAAGACAAGTTTTGTTTTGCACCGTCTCACCTCACTTTTGGATCTTTCATCTGCAGGCATGTACTTCTTTTTTTCACACTGTATCTTTTTGTTTTCTAGTATACTTTTGGCCACACACAAATGCGAATTGAGAGCAGGGGCTTCTGAGAAAAACAGGTTTCAGTCGCAGCAGCCTTTGTGGTTTTAATTAGTCATTTTGTGTTTATTTTATGAGCACTAAATATGCATTGTCTTCCGTGTTTTTTTCTACTTACTCTACTAGCGTGAATGTTTAAAGACTATCACAAGCTTTCTTTTCTTTGTTGATTGTAACTAGGGCATCTATATTGCCATGTTTTGCCTTGACGCTCAATTAAAACATTTTTTTCCTCCCTCTCCTCTTCTCGCCGCTGTCTTTCAAAGGCTGATGCGGAGTGCACACAATTATGCATATAAACATAGTGGCTTAATTATCTCGCACAACATCAGTGACAATGTAATTAACAAACATCGCAAGATCAATGAGAGAAAGTGTGACCTTCAAAACATTTAACTCCTCACATGGCGGCAGCGTGCAGATTCCCCTATCAAACCCCAACCCCAGAATACTGTTCCTAGATAATTTAGATGGCGCATTAGTCATTGGGAGGAAAAACAATGAATTAAAACAAGCGGTGAGAGATTGTGGTGGATCAAACAGACTTGACCACGACTTCCATTTGCGATTCGGGTTCACACTGAAAGGTTATTGTTCATTTGGAGCAGTTTTCAAAGCCCCCCCTATTTACTGGCTGTTAATTAACTAAGCAAACAGGGTGGAAGTTTGAAGCGACGGCAGCGATGTGCACTTTAGTGTGTGTCAAATTAGGCCCAACCCGTGCACATCATGTCATTTATTCAAAGCAGCTCTATTAGGATACCAGCGTCCATTTAAACAAACACACTTATACTCATTTGCCCACATAAACGCAAATAGCTTTTGAAAAAGTGTTGAAATTAGTGTAGCATGAAGAGTTAATCTTGCAGCATTCAACTAGCACAGATTTTGGTAATTATTTCTTCTTACAATTTCCTTTCTTAGGTCACCACGTCATTTGTCTCTCATTTTGTACTGCTTTTGAGTTCTTCAGTCTGGTATAATTTAAACCTGGTTGATATAATACTCATTATAATATACAGGCTTGAAAATAACACAATAAATAGATTTTTGATTGAAAATAATAATTCTGTCCACCTTAACATTATTATAATATGCATATTTCAAACTTATGAACGCTTAAACTTTGTAAGTCTGTTTAATGTGTTAATTTGCGTTGTCACTGATAAAAACTATGACTTACATGAGTGCAGTTTTTTATTTAATTTTAAGTACAGTACATACTATAAAACCCTAAATCCTATGGATGAGTAAATGAACTTCCCCATAGCATGTGTATTGTGCTTGAAAGTGTCACCCTTCAGAATCCATTGTGCCTGTAGATTAGTCCATATATAGCTCCCAGCATGCCCCTTATCTCAGTGACACCTCTGACTCTCAGAGCTGTGTGCTCCGACTGCCACACCGACCGCCATGTTTGGTCAGTGCCACACATATCAAGTCCCTGGTTATCATGTCCAGCTCAGAAAATGTCCTCTAATTGCCTCAAATGCAGACAAGGCCGGTCTGTTTAGTGTATAAACTTCAGCGTCAGGAGGTGTCCAGATAGGAGCCACTTCTGTGTGGATTTGATATCACTGAAACTGAGGAAGTCAAATGCCAAGTCAAGGGAACTTTATAATTGAGAGAATAACTTTTTACATAGTGGTGCGCTGTAGTAATTACTTTAAAGTATTAAAACCCCTTTACCTTTTTCTACGCTAAAGCAAAATAAAAAAAAAAATGTAAAAGTGATCATTATTAACAAAATCTCCACTGGTCTAACTGAAAATTGTATGAAATGTGACAACACAAACTGAAGCTCTCTAACTACAACTACTAGCGTATAGAACACCTTTTTCCAGTTTACCTATTTCAACTAAAGTATTTTCTAAAATTCAGCAGTAATACATCCTTTGCTTTTATTTTCCTCAGATGCTGCTACTTCAAAATCCGTTTTCAAGGTGGCTGCAAAATCGTATTAGTCGTAGCAGTGAAATGCAGATTCATATAATTGCTATTAAACATATTTAGTTTGAATTCAAAGTCTCTTTTAGAGCTCCTCTGTATGCTCTGCCACCTGGAGTCACATGACATTATTAACGGGCCTCAGATAAGAGCTGAGTACAGACCTCATTTACACAGTGTTTTGTAAAGGTTATCTGTGGTCGCCCCAGTCATAATCCTTTCACGTCCAATCATTGGGCTTTCAGTGATAGCATGACACCGATGAGACTGGAGCTCATTTTGAGGAGAGCACGATAAAATTACACACAGCAAATAGAATGTGAATAGCTATATCTGTTCTTGCATGAAAGAAACCACCCGTGTCTTTTGTGTCAGAATTACCACTCTGCTCTCAATATCAAAAATAATCTCTGGTATTACTGTAAAATTATGCTCTTACTGTATGATTGGACTCAAGAGTGAGATAAATACATATGCCAGCTCTATGCCGTTTTTCTATAGCTAACAGTGTATAAGGAGCTTGTAGTAGCAGTTAGAGTTGAATTATGGTAAGTACAGTAACAGTTTTAATTGTAGTAGTAACCAGTGTAGTAATGAATAGCTTCTCTTAAAAATACTTATTTGCAAATGAGCAGTATTCTGAGGCTAACTGACTTATTTAAACTTGTAGAAAACTTTTAGAAGTAACAGTACCCACAAATGAGCACTGTTGTCGTTTTGGTATTCATTAAGCTAACGATAATGAGCAGCAACATAATTTTTCTTTAGTAAAGCGTAGGTGTTTTTGATGTACTACATGTGTTTGCCCCAACTCAAGAACTTTTGGTGGGTTTCAGATGGCATCACAACTTTCTAGACCAGTGTTATTTAATACAGATGGGGGCAGGTAAAATTAATATTATTATTAAAAAGCAGATTTTTGTTGCCATAGAGTGAGTTCTTGTGGCAAGACACTCAGAGAAAAGTTTGGATTCAACATATGGTCAAATAGGAGACAATAGGCAGATTTTCTTATTGATAACATTGTTTGTTGCCATAAAATATCTAAAACATAAATTCACAACATCATTTCTATTGGTGACTAGACCCTGCAACTCACTATAGTACAACAAAAATCTAACAACATTACTTTTACATCCACCCATCTGTATTAAATTATATTGACCAATAGAAAGATGTGATACCATCTGAAACCAGCTATACGATACAGCTTGACCTGACATGGCCTTATAAATACAGTAACAGTACATACCAGCGGAGTGGCAAATTTATCAACACATTCATCATATCTGTAGAAAGCTATATTAGAAGAAACATTTTATGCATGTAGATCAGATTTCATGGGAGAAGTTTGTTACAAGTTTCAAACATGAAAAAACTGAACTGTTACCAATAGTTGCAAGTAACATGATACTTTTACTCAACCATATATTTGATACCAATATGTATTGCAGGAAATCTCCTAATGATAAATTCTATTTTCGTCCGTTAGTCAAAAGCGGATAGAAGTAGTAGTAGTAGTAGTAATAGTAGTAGTAGTAGTAGTAGTAGTAGTAGTAGTAGTAGTAGTAGTAGTAGTAGTAGTAGTAGTAGTAGTAGTAGTAGTAGTCATTATAGTAGCAGTATGTTTTGCCTTTTCAATTCAACACTTTAAAAACTTTTACTCAATGATCAAATTTACTTTTTTGATTGATGTATAGAAAAACAATATGATCCACTTATTAAACCCAACATATAATCTTCACAAATTTAAAGAATTCAGCAGTAGCAGTAATAGTAAAAGTTGCAGCACTTTTCACATTTAGTATAAGTATCTGTTTTGCCCATTCAAATTCGACATTCTTTTCAAAAATTTCCATTCTTTTTTACCATTACTATTTACTTTCCATTCTTTTTTTTTTTTTCAATGATAAAAACATGCACATCTCCCCTCTCTATTTGTTATCATGAAGACATATACAATGGTGTGAAGTGAACTGGATCCCTCACTTAGGACGCAGGCCAGCGGCAGTGTGTCAGCCTGTGGTTAGGGTACATGTGAAAACACCGTAGATCTGCTCAAGCGATCGGCTGCAAACATGGCGGTATTTCCTCTCAAATCCCTCATCTACTTCTCCTACATTTTTCATGCCCTTTCGATCCACCTTCTCCTCTTTCATACTGATCTGTCGCTCACGGGAGCCACCCTCCACAACACGGCCAGTGGAAATTTGGGGATTATTTTACACGCTGCACTGGAGATGTGAAAAGCAGGACCAGAGAGACTGATTTAGCAAGAAATTTGAGACAAGAGAAGAAATATTTGTGTATTAATTACGCCAGTGGTAGGTGGGTTTACCTCTGGCCAGATCATGTGTACTCTACTGATGAGGAAAGCAATAAAGCTAAATGTGAAAAAATAACTTAAGTGATGGTGCGTTGAATAAATTACAATATCTGTACTATTTAAAATTTAACTTTACTAAAACACTTTGTGTTTATTTCTGAAAGCCTTTACTCTTCATATCTCATACACTAATTCAGAAATCTCAATGTCTTTTCTCTTTTTACTCAATGGAGCCTTACAATAACCTGCAACTTAATGGGCCAGAATTAATCTCAACATAATGCAATTAAACTATACATTGACGACCACACTCCAGCTGTGTCCTTGAGGAAGTTTTCCTTGTGTGGACTTGTCTAATGTACAGAAGAGGTTCCTATAGATTTTGGTTAGTTGCAGATTGAACCACTATGTCACATGGTGCAGAACAGGAAGAGTGCAGAGTCATTGTGCACTTTTCAAAGCAGCAGATTTGTGGAGATTTGGGTTTGTTCCACTTTCTGTGTCTTACTGTGTAAATGTATTTATTGAGTTAAACTAACATTGCCTAATGACTTCATCTGTAACTTTAAATGACAAACAGAAGCTAAGTGGTGTGACATTTGTTGAGCAGGCATCAGTCAAAGTGACAAAACAAAGTCATTCATAAAACTGATGGAGTGACCTCAAGTCAATGTGTTGTTTATCATTATTTTGATCAATTGGTGTAATTATTCATGTAATGGACAATCTTTAAAGTGAAGGATTTAAATGAAATGAAACCGTAGCGATTCTAATGTCAGTTTCCTCTTTTGTCCAGGAGAGGCCTCGGCCCTGCAAGACTATGCAGCCAACACCATGAATGAGTTTCTGGGAATGTTTGGTTACGATGACCAGCAGGTAAGGGATGAGCTGACCAAGAAGATCAGCTTTGAGAAGCTCAAAGCGTCTACCTCAGACCCCTCGTCCCTCAGCAGCGAGGAGGCCTCCCGCCGCGCTCGCTTCTCCAAGTATGAAGAGTACATCCGTAAGCTGAAAGCCGGAGAGACCCCCTGGCCCCTGCATGCTTCCCCTCCCAAACCAGATGACCTCAATGCAAAGATTGCCCAAGACAAGAGCCCCCTGCTGCAGAGCTCCGGTCTGCCAGGAGCAGAGGCGCAGATCTTCCCCTCCAGTATGGACCACAAGTCCCGCGGAGGACCCCAGGCAGGGGCGTCACAGCCCCCCACGTCCTCACTGCACATGTCCAACATCGTGTCACGATCCTCCAAATATGACTTCTTTATCCAGAAGCTGAAGAGGGGTGAGAGTCTGCAGCCGCAGAACGGTAACGCCTACAAGCGTCCCTCCAAGTACGATCTGGAGAACGTCAAGTATCTTCAGCTGTACAAACCCGGGGACGGAAACCACGACATGGGTGGAGCCATCGCTTTCAAGACTGTCAAATCGGCGCGCAAATATGACATCAGACCAATACAGAAGCTGATCCCCGGAAACCCCGAGGCCTCGCTCATGCCCAGCGTCTTGACTCCTGTCCCAGGGAACCCGGGTACGCCGGGGGTCCCCACTGCAGGGGCTACAGGGGCCATTGCCCCTGGCCTCACCATGGACCAGAGCGGACACCTTAGCTTCAGCACCGCCGAGTACCTCAAGTCCAGCTTCTCCAAGACTGACTCCATCACCTCCGGAACTGTGTCCTCTGTCAAGTAAGTCACTGCTGTTTTTTTCTACTGGGCAAAGCAAAACAAAAGTGAACTTTTTTTATACAATGAAAACAAATCTCTTAAACTAAATTTTTTTTTAAAATTTCATGATCGATCATTGGCTAGACAGTGTCCTTCACACTTATAGTCTCTCAGAGAAACACTAATGTACAGCCTGCATCCACTTAACTGCTCCTGCGACTCCGTTAGACTAACACACAGGTAATTGCTAGCTTCACCGCAGCCAACAGGAATGTAGTGTGAAATAGCGCATAGCGCCCAATAGATCCATGACATGATGAGTTGCGAAGGCACATGAAGTGTTTACTCGCTGTAGTACTCCGTGGAGACTGATTTAGCACAGTCATCGCAAAGTGACTGACTTCTGGGTTTGGCTGGGGTCTAACAACTCTCTCGTAATTACTTTGGAGCCATGACTAACCTGGCACCAGCCACAGGGGGCTGAGTGTTCTTTAGAACAAGTGAACAGAGCTTTGGGGACATGGTCCAGTGGATGGGAGCTGCTACAGTGTCCTTGTCCTCTCTCAGTCAGGACAGTCCCAGCCTGTTGTGCCTGGGCAGCGTGGGCAGCGCGGGCAGTGTATAGACAGCGTTGCCAGGTTGGCTGCTGCAGCGCTGCTTGGCTAACACTGAGCTGCCTGCACAGTGACGAGGGGCTGCTGAGGAGAGTCTGGCAGCCTGCCTCCCTCAGGGCAAGATTAACCTCGGGTCATCCCCCGTGTGGAGCGGCTCTCACTGAGCTAAATGCCACTACTGTGAAGAGCCAAGCACAACCAATACTGTGTAATCACACTTATCATATACACAGTGAAAAGAATGAGAAGCATACTCCGGTCTGGTCTCTTTAACATGTTAACATTCATTTAAAATAAATAAAAGGTAAACTTCCTCTGTGACAGCCGGGCTCGGCCTCTTTTGGCTCTACTCTCGCCTCTGCTTTTTGTTTGAGACTGATTGGAGACAACTTGACATCAGCATAAGAGCCAAGGCCCTCGGGGACGATCAGAAAAGACCTTTTCAGAGCTTTTCTTCCCATCCCCATTATGGCGTTTTGCATACAAGCACTCACCAAAATACCCCATAAAAGATTAATGTCCCTTTGCTCCAGCATTTTGCCTTTCATTGGTCGGGAGCCCATGCATCAAAGTGCACGGCTTCTACCCCTGATTCATAAGCCACATGAAAACGCTGTTATGCCACAAGAAAATGCATATTGATAGTGCAAAGTTTGGGAGCGGCTGTAAGTAAATATTGTGTCAGTTTGTTTTTATTAACAACAGGCAGGCCCACCTCACCATTAATCCTGTCTCTTTTGTGTTTGCTGTTGCATTAGGAATGGCCTGCCACCAGATAAACCTACCGGCGACGATGTCAACGTCTACCAGAAATATATTGCTAGGTATGCAAATCCCTCACCGAGCCTCTCTCTGCTGTAAAAAATATGTCCAAAACACAGACAAACACTCTCTCAGCCCCCGCTATGCTCTGCTTTATTCACTCATATAACTCGACTTATACGACAATGTTGAACGCACAGTAAATTAATTAAGAAAGAGTCAAATTTATGTGCTATGCTGAAGTAGAGGGGTGTAATGAAAGAGAAATTGCTTAATGGGAACTTACTGTAACGGGCAGAGTGAACATTATTCTGTGACATTAGCAGCGACTGAAAAACCAAGGATATGAACTGAGGCTATAGCCACTTTATATGGGAGCTAACTGATCTAAAAGGGAGTCATACACACCAGTGGAGAGCCGTGTCTTTGAATGGCCTGAGAACAATGTCGGCTATCCTCAATTCATTCACTATAAAGGTGATTATCACTTGTTTGTTTATTCTGTCTCTAAAAAGGAAAGAAAAAGCGCATTTGAAAAGTGGCGTTAATGATTACTTCTCCAAGCCATAACATGAAGGGCACAAATCAAAGCGCTGGCACTGACAGACACACACGTACGCACATCCTCTCCTCTCTCCACGCACACACAGAGCAGCAGCCTTCCTTGGACTGATTACATTTTGCAAGAAGATTTAATTAAGGAATTTTTAATGAGGCTTCTGCTGGCAGTGCCAAGAACTGTTTTGATATTTGCGCTGCATAATGCATAAAATTTGTCTAAACATCTCGGCGGTTGATGCACAGGGAGGCTGCAGATAAGCCCAGATACAGTTTCAATTTCCGTGTTGAGGTTGAGGAAAAAAGAGGAGAAGAGGAGGGTTGCGAAAATGGGATAGGAGGGTACATAAAAAGGGTAAATGTTGCAAAGGGATTATCAGGCTAATGGGTGATTTTGCAAAACAAGCCTGCTTTCTGCTGCTAAAGTTTGATGGTATAAAAAGATTCATTGGCGTCTGTGTTATACTTTTTAAACGCTTTCATGCACACACTATCGGCGGCACTTTGATCCGTGTATCCGTATTGTAACCAGAGATGCGCTGCAATCTGTGTGTGTCGTGGTGGCTATATTAATATTTAATCTGCTGCTGAATAGTGGTGTGCCCATTAGGCCCCCTGATGCGGCAAGAGGGAATTGTCCAGAGGCAAAGTGATACAGCTGGGCAATGAGCAGTGAGGGAGGGGGCACAGTCTCAGGGGACCGGGGGCTTTGTACGCCTAAGTGTATATATAATGTAGGGTAAATTATATGGATATGTACTATGCAGGTCGGAAGATTTTTTTTTAGAAGAAGAGGTGTGTTCAAAATAATACAACTCTGATGAAGGGTTTTCCAAAAAAAAGAAAAAGTGAAAGTAGTGTGATTTTTGTTAGGTTGCTGTATTCAAACTAGCAAACCATGTAAATGTATTAAAATAGTATAAACAAATGTGTGCTCTGCAAATATAATGACTGTAGTAATTTATCACTAACATGGTAAAAATAAATAAAAAATAGTTTTGATATACAAAAATGGCACAGAAATCTGTACAATTAACATAACTTTATTGATCCCAAAAGAAATTCAAGACTGTTAACTGCTCTCACAATCACCACCAGCACATTGCATACATTGAATGAGATTAAATAAATAACTAAATAAATATTTCTAAAAATTCTTAACATTTGAGATATCCTTAAAATGACATATTAAGTTACGCGGGAAAGTACAACCAACTCACCACTACCTTAACTTTTCACTCAAAATTTGCTTCAAGCCCCAGTCTCTACAGAACCATTAAAAAAAACTAGAGTTTGCAAAGTGATCTGTAAATGTTGTTCAGAGATAATCCTAACAAGGCAAAAACACACATTTTTAAAACTTGCTCACCCCCTCCTCCTCCTCCTCCCTCCCTCCTCCCTCTCTCTCATGCACTACAGACGGAGCTCTTGGCAGCAGAAGAGCAAATGTTTATTTGTGTGTTTTTGCTCGTAATTGGAGGATTTTAAGAGTCATCATCATCAAGCTTATTATCGTCGCTGTAAAAGTGCTGTACTGTAGCAAAAAGCGCAGCAGTTTTTCTTTTACTAGAAACGGACTGAAATGTAGACATACAGTGGAATGAATTGGAGCTATCTGATGTCTTTCTGTGGTTAACCTGCCCTCATTTAACAAGGTTTTTCACGGCTCGGTAAAAGAAATACAAGGTTCCTCATCCCTCTTTGAGTACGTGGAGGGAAAAGGTTTCACAGTAATAAGTGTCTCTTTGGAAGTAAATGCAACTAATTTGAGTGGAATTGGTGTGACAGACTGGTAAATTGTGGCGGCAGTGTGGGAGGTGGGAGTCTGTCTGAGCGGGCGAGGGGGGGGCTCTGTGAAGGTGAGCGCAGAACAATGGTAGTGAAATATATCATAACATTAACACTGATTTATGTTTATGAGTATTTTGGTCATGTTTTTCAGGTTTTCAGGCAGTCAGCATTGTGGTCATGTGCACTGTGCGTACCAGTACAGAGAGCACTATCACTGCATGGACCCAGAGTGTAACTACCAGGTGAGCGTGAGTACTTTATCCTTTTTGAGCACCGCCCAAATACACATTTAATAAAGATTACTATTTATGCTGTTTTGAGGTGTTTAATAACTTGTCATTGTGTGGCAGAAGCAACTAATTATTGAACGGTTAAACATATATACACATTATATTTTATTTTCATTTAAATACATTCAGTATGTATAAGATAAGATAAGGTAAGATTCCCTGGTATCATATTAACCTCAAAGTTTAAAACACAAGCATTTTTTATTTATATTGCACAAGTAGTTGGAGTTATTAATCCATGGTTTAGAGCAGTAAATTTTGAATATTATTGTAATGATTATTTCATTGTTGCACAACAAGCAAGTGTGAGAAAAGTGTGGATAGCTTTAACATTCTAGATAACACATTTTTCAGATTCAGATATCAGATATTCAGTTTATTGTCATTTAATGCATACATAAAAACAAGATACAGTTTTGCAGAATCAGTATAAAGTTTCAAGTCATAGCAATATAAAATACAAGTGCCAATGCCTATCTATTTTGAAAGTGTATCCTTTCAGTAAAGACATTTAAAAGAAAGGAAGAAAAATAATTAACCAATGTCTAATGTTAGACAAAAATGTCTCTTATAATCTTCTAGCTCATTTGAGGTCAGGTGACTTGAAGTTTAGCTGAGGACAGAATAAAAGGATGTGGCCATCATTGCAGTATATACAAACACAAAAGTGCGTCATCTTGTCAGTGGCCGTTACACAGCGACCTGAAGTTTGTTTGCCTTTGGTGTGCTGAGTAAGCTGAGGGCAGGTCTCACTCACTGCAACAACCCGGGGCTCACCGTGACATTTGGCCTATCATTAGAAAGGGTTAATTGTAAATACAACTCCTTCTCATCTATATCTGAAGACATCTGCCGTGCCTTTAATCCCCCCTCACATTATTAATCTTGTCCCGATGCCAGCACTAGTCATGTATATGTAAGTGGCACAAAGCAGATGAGAATACTCCTGTTTGCTGTAGCATATGGCTGGAGAGAGTTAGTCAAACACAGCAAGATTTGTTCAAAGACTACAAAAATCCATGCTCCTTCTCCGCTTGTTTTCCTTCCTTTTTTCTTCCCAGTTTTCTGAATGAAGCCGTCTTCAGATGTAATCTCCACTGTCTGCTCCCGATCAGTGAAAGATTAGCGCTCGATAAATATTGTTTATGTGCCCAAAGCATTACGGATCGTGGCTCACTTCACAGTCTGATGAGGAGACACGTTCTTGGAGGAATACAAAGGAAAACCATCTCGTGTCATTATTTAGAGTGTTAGTTCAGGTTATCACGGCAATTTCCACGGTCAGGCCGCATTTCTCTGTGCAGAGGAGGTGCAGATATGCATTAGGAGTCAAACATGGAAAACACAAGCAGGAAGAATTACTCAAGTAAAAGTACTGCTACTACAGAATAGTAGTACTTAGTAGTATAGGGTAAAAAAAAAAAAAGACTACTAATCCAGTTTGTGTAACTACGTGAGCAATTATTCAGTCATGTGGTGAACTAATTTGTTACCAAATTTAAAACAAAGTACAAACATCAATCGACAACTACTACTCAACAACAACTAAAATGCTATTGCTTTGCTTGAAATGTTCCACAGTGTGGCATTAAATATATCCATCTATTCAATCAAATGTATTTATTGCTTAAATATCATTTGCATTCATACAATCAGCAGGCTTGCCTCTCCACAGATCTGAACTGTAATTTAAAGAAAGAAAGGGAAATTTGACCTCTGTATTCCTAGTCCTAGTGGTATCATCTGCTTGCCTCCATGGAGATATGTTAAATGAAATACTGTGAAACATAATAGACAAGGTAATAACATCTCCAGGGAGACAATCAGGTGGCGGACCCTCCACCATAAGTTCCATAGTGCACCTTTAATTTGAAGCTTTCCTCTTTTCCCCTCTCTGTATTTGGGGCAGAGATGATCTGGTCCTTGGAAGTGATAACTCATGAAACGCTGTGCACATGACACACAGAGTTGGAATATTACCCCAGTGCCAGCCCGCTCCATTGGCTCAGAACTGACATTCTCCTTTCATGGGCTCGTACAGCAGCGAGTACGGGCCGTGTTCATCGTCACTCTGGTGGGAATCCCAAAATAAATGTAGCAAGTGGCTCCCAACCTTCATCACCACTCCACTGAAAATGAGATCTTTTTCCCAGTCAGCTCCGGGCCTATTTTGGAACGCCTAATAGATCAAATGTACGGCACCAATCAGGCAAAACATTACGACCACTGACAGGTGAAGTGAGTAGTACAGATTATAACTTCATTTTGACATGTGTTAGAAAGAGGAAATTATCAGAGGACAAGTTTACATTTTGAACATTAAGCTGATGAAAAAATATGACTTGCTCTGTCAACATAGTAGTGGACAAATCAAGATAAGAACTATGGTGTTCCCAATAAATTATTATTTTCAACATAAATATAAAAATTTGTGAGCATGCAGCCCTTTTGTGATGGTGTTCCCTGTCCACAGTGGTCAATATCTATCAAAGGAAGTCCAACAGCGAGTAAGGAAGGAAGAAAGAGCTAGTTTATAATTGTTTTTAAAAAAAAGTTATTGCTATTGCTACTATATGGAGGATGGAGGAGAACTACCTTAAGGGTGCACTATGTAATTCTTATGGTAGTAGTACTCCAACCCCTTATTGTTGTGCCTGAAATGTTCCACGGTATGGCATTACACTTCATCTTCATAGAGCCAAGAATGTGAATTAAGCAGGCCAAGATACAGGTGATATACCATGTAGAGAGGCGAGTCTACTTACAATAAAAAAAAGATTGTTTCAGTGTATTCACAGTATATGGCTTTTTGACATATAGTGTGGAACATTCCAGGTAAAGTAATAACATCTCCATAGAGACAAGCAGGAACTGGATCCCCACCAGAAAAGTGACACAGTGCACCTTTAGAGAGGCAGGTGGTTATAATGATGTACTGATACTGTCTCGTAACCAGGGTGATAATTCCACAGTATCCCTAAATCTGATGCATTTCTTAGCTGCAGTAAGGGAGCCTAATCTTTTCTATCAAAGAAATAAGCAATAAAAAGCCAGCCTAGTGCAGTGAGTGAGCGCTACAATCTTGCTTTTTTCCTTGCGCACCACTGGAACACATGACACAAAGCAATTACCCTACTTTGTACCGCAATTAGCCGCTTTTAAGAATGCCGCTTTCTGATGTTTTTCTCTCAACTGGAGATAAATATGGATTGAAGGCAGCACTGAGTCATTGATTCGTGCGTCTCCTCTTACACTTTCTGTAATATCAGCTTAAGCCCAATTACAGCAGATTTGGGTGTCTCTGCAGAGCAACTTTGCCTGTATGCGCGTGTATATGTGGATGTGTGTGCGGGAAAGTGAGAGAGGGGGGATTTTGAGAATTTAGTGATTTTACACAGACGAGTCCCTGGGAATATTCTGAGCACAAGCAAGTGTTAACGCAGTCATTAGAAGAGAAGTGATATCTTAGTGAATAGAATGGCTTTTTGGTTGACTTGTTTGTTTGTTTCTCTTGCCTTGTGTTTTCCCCCCTGAGCACGTCTCCAAAATCATCTGCATGGAACAGGGTTTTTCCAGAGCACAGACATCACTGTGATCTTGCATGTCAATTGATCCGTCTTAATTAAAAAGAAGATATTTTGGGAGAAGATTAAAAAAAACTGTGTAGAGATAGAAAAACAGGGAATATAATTTAAACAACACTATTCTATGATCTACATATAACAGCCAGTAAATTATATGAAAAACATACTTCACATACTTCACATACTACAATACTTCACAAAAAATGAAAGTTTGTGTATATATGAAACGTGGATTTTATATAAAATACTGGACTGTGGAGGAACTGTGCAAGGACAAAAGGATCAAATTGACACTTTGCATCATCATCACACTGTTTTTTATTTTTTTTGTTCTGTTGTGTTTGAGTGTATCTTGCATTTACAATTAATATTTCAAAAGTGTAAAACCATATTTAAATAAAGAAACAAATATATACATAAAAAGGGTTGGTTGATAGTTAAAATATAATTATATTTTCTGTTGCTTGTTAAGGATAGCGTTTTCTACTTTGCTAAAACTGTCCCACAGCCTCAGAGGGACCAGCTCAGAGAGATATGCAAAGTAAATCAATAAGTGCACAACATGTCACATTTAGAGACATCTCACACTTTCTTGGCTCTTGCATCTTGCAGCTGCCACACAGATAAAGTTGCTGATTCTGTTTCTGGTTTAAATAAACACCAACCTGTTGCTGTACATTTTTCCCCATACCACCCACCCCCTCCTTTTCCTCCTCTGCTCTCACCCCCCTCCCTTCCTCTCTCCCCTGCCGTCCATATTGGTTTGTTTTACAGAGGTTTACCAGTAAGCAGGATGTGATCAGGCACTACAATATGCACAAGAAGAGGGACAACTCGCTCCAGCACGGGTTCATGCGCTTCAGCCCCCTGGACGACTGCAGCGTCTACTATCACGGCTGCCACTTGAATGGAAAAAGCACCCACTACCATTGCATGCAGGTGGAGTATAAATTGGCACTGTGCCCCCTGCCGCCCCCGCATTCACCACATGTATAGTACAGACCCACGGAAATACAATAACGAAGAGCTACCCAGTTATGTGACACAAGCACGAGATTATGCAGATTATGTATTGTTCAAAGGTGGAAGATAGCATCATTTGTCCATCTTGTACTCTTCTGATTTTACATGTGAGAAATGTGACAAAACAACATAAGCAACAATACACTAACATATGATGCAAACTTGACAAATATATTTTCTATACTATTTCATACAGTTGGAGTTAATATTAGTTGAAGCAGTTTGCTTATTTAAGATCTCCATTCCAAAAAAATTTATTCTTTTACCAGCAGAATGAAAATTATAATTACTTTTAAAAACTAATTTCTCTGTAGTCCTAGATTTTGTCATACATTCTACATGAATTTATTGCCCAATTAAAATTGAAATTTAACATTGGCTGCTTATTCTACACAGTCGGATGAGAAGGCATAAAGAAATACAAAAACACATTTGTGCATCAGTGTAAGATTGTTAACCCTTGAAAATAATTATGCTTTTAATAGACTTAATAAAGCATAAACAAAGACAAATAATTTATAATAAAGAAATTGTTAATTAAGAATTCAGGCTAGTAGCAACATTGTACCTAAACTCCCAAATTCTAACCCCTTAATCAAGTAGTTACAGAGTCTGAATCTGATTTGTTCATTAAGTTTTGAGTCTTTGTTCATGCTTTTTTTAAGGGGAAATGAAATTGTAATTATTATGAAGCGATTCCCATCATATTGTATAGGCCCCTTTACTGTCAAGGCAGAGTACATGTCCAGATTTGGGTTGTCTATTCCATATTATAAACAGTTTCCTGGGTGGCAGAGCGACTCACTGGGAACACCAAAGAGCAGTGACAGTTCACACCTTGTCCATTTCATCTGATGCTCTAGCCTTAAATAAATACAAGAAAATTGAAAAATGGTGAACCCACATGGGCTCCTATAGTCCCCTCTCTCACTCCTTAATTGGCATGGATAAAATTCCCCCAGCTGTTTACATAAACTTCACATTTTTCATCTTTTAGTACCAAGCAGCCCGTCGAAGATCATTCACCCTTTTGTTTAATTTTTTACATCTGCTTATTTTCAAAAGTGTCATTGTGCCGAGAGCAGAGGAGGACCAGAGATAGATTTTCCTTTTAAACCTTTCTAACTGCGTAATTGTTATTAGGACATTTCAGGGCTTGTTTTAACTGTGCTGAGAACCTGCAGATGTTGGCACCGCCGCTTTTGATTTACGACAAAAAGAAAAAAACACACAATCGCATTTTTTCCATTGTTTGACTCAATATGGAGAAGTTGCCCCGTTTGTGTGCAGGGAAAATGCCAGGATGATATACACTTTGTGCTTTTAATTCAAACATTAGCTGTCTTTCCCTCTCACTGCTGGCTCTAGGCTCCACTGTAGATTTATCTCACTGTACTATCTCCCACTCCTCCTCTGAACCTACTTACAGTAACTTTGCGGTGTACGTGTTATACTTCAAAATATGACTGCTATACCTAGTTTAATTTGAGTACTCTACCTTCTTGGGTTTACTAGAATCATGCACATGTTTTATAGTTAAAATAAGAGAACCTTTATTTGTCCCACAATTGAGAAATTCCAGTGTCGCAATGCTAGCTTCAGGAACATCAAGGGTATAGAGATATGCAATCAAAGTCAAGTCAAGATAAATAACTATTAAAAGACATCAGTTTAGGCTTAAATGTAGTTGTGGGAGACTGTGAAATTTTCTATTGCATGAAAAATCAAAATCAGTAGTTTACGTGACAAAAACAATTTCTTGCACTCATTTCTAGGCCACTTTAACATTCTGGTAACCACAAGCCAGGCTCTGTCTAAACACATTATCAGATCTCTTGTTTCCAACCTTTATAGCAAAGTGAAACTATTGTTGGTGCTGTAGGCCTAGATGTGCTCTTGATTTGATTTTTGCAGGTGGGTTGTAGCAAAGTGTACACCAGCACCTCCGACGTCATGACTCATGAGAACTTCCACAAGAAGAACGCGCAGCTCATCAATGACGGCTTCCAAAGGTTCAGAGCTACGGAGGACTGTGGGACTGTGGGCTGCCAGTTCTACGGCCAGAAGACCACTCACTTCCACTGCAGGTCAGGAGAGTCCCAGCGCTGTGTACCAACATGTATGCAGGGTCCCCGAATAATGTATTAAATTATATTCAAGCACATAGCAATCATTTTAATTTATATAGATACAGCAAAAATTAGAAAAATTGCTATATTACTATAAAATCATGGCAACACTGTAGACAGCAAAATCTGCAAATATCATTATCACAATGTTCTAACAACATTTTATTTTTTTTGTCCACTTGTACCACTTCATATTTATGTCTTAGTATAAGTATAAATTCCCAATAACCTCCAAAATATTGCAATATTTTCCAACTGGCCCTATTAGATTTTTTGGAGGCTTGGCCCAGTAAATCTTCATCAGTGGCACTTGTTTGGCTTGATTCATTAAACTCTTTGTGAGCCTCTGGCAGTGGATACAGGTGGCAATATGTGGGCCACTACTGCTGCCTCTGTTATGACTGTGCCTTTCTAATGGATTACAAAGTGAGCGCGGTCCATTCCTCTGCGCCACACCAAATGACTGTATGAGCTCTGATCCTTTTCTGGTGCTTTAGGCGTCCAGGCTGTACCTTCACCTTCAAGAACAAGTGTGACATCGAGAAGCACAAGAGTTATCACATCAAGGACGACGCCTACGCCAAAGATGGCTTCAAGAAGTTCTACAAATACGAGGAGTGCAAATATGAAGGCTGCGTGTACAGCAAGGCCACCAATCACTTCCACTGCATCCGCTCAGGCTGCGGCTTCACCTTCACCTCCACCAGCCAAATGACGTCGCACAAACGCAAACATGAGCGTCGCCATATCCGCTCCTCGGGTGTCCTAGGCCTGTCCAGCTCCTCTTTCATGGCCCCCAAAGATGAACCAGAGGAGTCCAGTAATGATGACCTGGTGGACTTCTCCACCATCAGCAGTAAGAACTCCAGTTTGAGCGCTTCTCCCACCACACAATCCACTACAGCCTCTCACCTGATGGCCACACCGACCACCTCCGTGTCCTCCTCGCCCTCCAGCCACGCCCTCAAGTCCACTTCCAACATGGCGGCCGGGGCAGGACAGAGGATGAGCAGCCTCCTGTCCCAGACGCTGCCCAGTAACATGCCCGTGGCGCTGGCCCTCTCCAGCAGCGCTCTGGCCACTCAAAACCCGTTCTTCCCCCTCATGCCCAGACTGCCTCTGCAGCCACCGCCCCCCTCTGCTGCTAGTCTCATCTCTGCTGTGTCATCTGGAGCCCTGTCCATGACCTCCGACTCTTTGAGCCAGGGCTACTCCAGTGTTGGGGCAGACGGAGCCATGGCCTCCACCCCAACCTCCTTCTCCACCTCCTCCATCATGGAGAAGATCTCAGCCAGCAAAGGCGTCATCTCACCCATGATGGCCAGACTGGCAGCTGCCGCCCTGAAACCCAACAACTCTGAGACAGGTGAGTGTGTAAGCTATTTACACATTTGTCCTTTTCATGTTCAGGTAAATAACATTTATTCTACTTAAAAATTACAAAATTATACAGTAACTGAGAGACTTGCCTACAGTCAGTTCAATTTAATTCAGAATTTTTCAAAACTACATTTTAAACAACTCCAGCCCATATTGTTATGCAGTAAGACTAAGGAGGAGGCTGTTTGCTCCTCCCGCTACTTTGCTGTGGATTGGCTGCTCTCACAATGTCACCAGCTCCAGAGTGCACTCAGGGGTCATGCATGCTGTGTCTATCCCACAGTGAGTGCTTTGAGCTGGGCCAGGCGTCACCAACCCTCCCAGGCTTCCAGGGACACAGCGGAGGGAGACACGGCCCTCTCCTCCGCTGCGGGCCGCCTGTTATTGTGTTGATCGCTTGTTAGATAGCCACAATCCATTTGGAGATAAATGCGCTGACAGGGGAAGAGGAGAGCCTGTAAAAGTCTGCTGTGATGCTCCGAGTGGGGGCTCCTGGGGCCTGTGTCGAACATGTTTCCTCATCATTGCTCTCTTATCTGTGCACTGCGCCGTTCCAGCCAAATGGAGGTGGAATGAAATTAAGTTCAGAAAATTGTGAGAACAAAATATTTTTTCCCCCATATCCTCTTCGCGGGACTGATAAAAAAAACAGAAGCCGTTCAGGCAGAAACAGCTCTATGCACTATGCTCCCGTGCATCTGCAAAGTTGAATTTCTAGAAAGCTTGTGTTTCCTCAAAACATGTCAACAACTGTTTAGCATAAACATAATTCTCATACGTTTCAGAGGTAATTGGCTTGTCTGGATTTATCTCATTGCTTCAAACAAGGTGAATACAGCACACAGAAACACATTTGCATCTTTCTGGAATTATTATATTTTTTGCATATTTCTCCAAACCTAATGTTTCAGATCATCAAACATTTGAACTATTAAACAAAGATAATAACTAGAACCAATGCACAGTGCAGTGCACAAATGGAATACAAAGAGCTTTTAATATTTGTCATCATTTAACATTTCAAATCATTTTAAAAGCATTTGGTGTTTTTAAAATGTTTTCTTTCATTTAACGCTTCAGAATTGGTAATGTGGGAATATTAACCAAAAAATTATGATCTTATTTTATCCTGTTCCATCAGTTTTGAGGGAGGCAAATGATGCAAAATTGACTTTTAAGAGCTTTTAACAATCTTTATTCTCTTGTAAGATGCCATTGCTATGAATTTTTTAGTTTTCCTCTGCCCTGTACTTAATTCTTAGATTTCTTCAGTAATAACAATCCATGTGTAAATATGGTATGGTGTTATCTGAACATAACCTATTTAAGAAATCCCAAAACTAAATCCTTATTTCTCTGTACAGTTATACAGTGTGCATAAAAACGGAGCAGATGGGATTGGTTACGAGGGCAACGTGAGTTTAAGGAGGGAGGAGGTGAAATTCCGGATGTTGGGAATTGGAAGGATTAGAATTCCTGGTGGTGTTGCAATATGGAGCTGTCAGGCTGAGCTCCACCTCTGGGCTGCAGCAGGTACTGTCAAAAGAGGGAGGGTCCCACCGGAGGATGGGTCTCCACAGATGGTTGCACCCCTCCCTCCTCCTACACACATACGCAGTTCTTCTATAAGATAAGAGTTGTGCTTTTTAGTTTTTGTTCTCATATATCGTGTGTTAAAATGTGTGAACAGGACATTTGGGGCTAAATCGGGAGGAAGTGGTTTGTGCTTCATCAGAACTAAAAAAAAATTGTGAGAAGTGTCAACAGTTTGTGGCCTTTTTATCACAATGCATTTTGTTTGTGAGGTTGTGAAACTTTGCTGTGAATGTGGCCAATTGTGCATGTAATTTTTTTCCTCTTTCGGCTTGTGAGTAATTTCTTTAGTTTTTCTTATTAATGTTCCACTCCAATTTGGCCCTAAGTGTTTTTCCTTGCGATTGGAGCATCTGAAGGGTTTACTAATTAGACACACAGTACAAATGATCTTTCCCAAGCGCTGTATCTTATCCACAGTAATTACAGGCTGGTACATTATTCCTGGATAATTTCCAGAAAGAAGCTGCTTTGAGTCAAACTCATTTGTTCTCCTTGTTTGGAAAGTGGAGAAAGAAAATGTATTATGGACGAGAGAACAAGAGGCACTTCCAATGCAGCTGCTGTTTAGGAAAGCTCTAACCAGAATGTCCGTAATATTCCTCATATAACTAACATGCGCTGATTGGGTCAAAGTTGATGTAATTGTGAATGACAAGAGGGTGTTTATGTGACTGGTTAATTTTGGGCACTCTTTGGGTGCAGTCGAGGGGGAAGGGAAGGAGTGAGCATTAACTGACCTCAAATCAAAATACTGTGCATTTAGTTTGGCCCCGCCCCCAGCCCATTGTCAAAGAGAACTGACACTTCTCGATCTCACCGCTTTTCTCTAACAAGACCCAAGTCTGGCTTTTCCACTCGTATTCAGCGTGATATGTCTTTGGGTCATTATGTAGTGGGGGGTCTGATCACGCCCCCTCATCTATGGGGCTGCCCTGAGTGAGTGAAAAAAGAGGGGCTCTACAGGGCCAAGGGCGCACTCTGCTCCGGACACGACCTTGTCACAATCCCTCAGCACAGCACTCATTATTAAACAACACATTTTTGACCAGACCAATCACAGCACTGTTGTTTTTATGGCTTAAGAGGTTTTGCTGGGACCATCTTGGGCTGTAGCCTCGGGACAAATGAATATTTCAGTCCCTCGGGGGTGGTTGGGGTGGGGCTGCACTCACCTTCCTGTCTGTCAGCGTTTCTTCTGCACACCGGCCGCATGGCATTTATTTATTTAATCTTCTGTCCTCTGAATACCTCTTTGGAGAAGAATGTGATTGAGAGGTCACGCTATTTGAACCAATCTGATTGGCTGTCAGCTCCAATCTGACCGACATGGCGCCCTGTTCCTTGTGGGTACGCTCAGTGGCACCGTTGTCAGGCCAACGCTGAGCCCGGGATGGGGGAGGGAGGGAGGGAGGAGGAGGAGGCTGTCCAATCTGAGACTGCCACTTTCCCTCAGCATTAGCATCTCACTTAATGACCAGTTAAGAGGCAGCCCGCCAAATGAGTTGTGACAAGTGCTGCAGAAAACCCAGTCTTTTTCCCTCATATCTGCCGCCTCTCAATCACTGTTTAAAAGCCTTGACGGCCTGACATCATTTCACAATAATTATCACTGGGAGTATTCGTTTGGGGCCAGGACAGAAGTCACATTACATCTCATCAGGCGTAATAATGCTGACCAACAATAACTTTGTTGTGTCTCTCTCCTCAGGGAATGGCCAGCCTCCGTCAGGCCAGTACAATTTGGTCCAAGTGAAACAGGAGCCCATGGAGCTGGGGTCTACAGGATCCCAGGACTCTGCCCAGGAGCACAGCCTGGACCTCAGCAAGAAGGACCACAGGTACTACACGCAGGCCCAATGAGCACTGTAATGTAATGTACACAGAGTGGGGGGAATAGTCATATGATAAATTGGCTTGGAAAAATAACAATGGTTTTGTGATTTAAAAAGTCATTTTTATCCATTTAGTTTGCTGCCATATATCAAAAATCTACTATGCATACATCTATTAAAAATTCATCGCTTTTGTTCACTTTTGTGCAAAATGTTATGCATAAATGTGAGATCACGCTCCTGTAGATGCTATTTCTTAATAAGACAGCATTTTTCTTCTTCATTATACAGCACACCTTGTGTGATAAATAGTAATATTTACTGTTCTCATGCAAATCTTGACTAAACATTGTTCATTTGACTTGTTCCAGTAATGAATCAAACGGACACGCCGTACCGGGGAATACATCTCTTTTATCCTCGCTTATGAATAAGGTAAGATCCATCCATCAAACGCCTTTCATCCCAAGACAAATTAGCGGCACACGGAGGGGCCTGTTTGTTTTTGAATGTTTCACCGCTAATAAGATGAGTTTGTATCATTTAAATTTTCCAGCCATTTTTCATATGGCGTAATTTTCGCTGCACCTCTCACAAATTAATATAATGAAGCAGTAGCTGGGTGCCATGCCAGATATATAGAGATGTTTGTTTTTTGATGAGCTGTTTTGAACTCCACGTCCATTTTTCCTCCTCCTTTATCCTTTTTCTCTCCTGCCTCATGCTACATTTATTTATAGACTTTGTAAATTATTTGATTAAAAAGTCTGGGGAAAAAAAAACTGGCAGGCAGGCACAGCCATCATTTTTTACCCGCTCTAAGTGTTGGCGTATGGAAATTTAAATGTGTGTGTTTTTTTCCTGAAGATTAAAATGGACATTGTTTTAATCATACATCTCACGTGACACCTACAAATGACTCAGGTGTTTACAGCAGTTTGTTGATGTCATGGCAGCAGAGTAGGCTCAGGCTGTACTTCTACTGCGTACTGTGACTTTGTTTAATTTGTTAGAATTCTTAATTTTTTACTCAGAAAATAAAATAATTTTACCAATACAACAATAATTGTTTTTCATATGGCATAATGTAAATAAACCATATTTCAATTCCCACTGCAACTCATCTGCTTGCTTGGCTGTGGTTAGAGTGTGAATTTACACCAGGTGCCCTTAGTGTATTGTAGTGAAATATTCACGAAGAGATTCAAAAATTTGTGACAGTGAAATTATTTAAGTGAAATATATATTACACAAAGAAGCTGAACTCATACATTCTTGTGTGTCATCTCTCTGGGATAACAGTAGTTATCGTAAAGACAGGATGTGCTTGAGGAGCTGTAGTCCAACAGCTCGTGGTGTCACTGCAGCCTCATTCTGGCCACACACCACATAAAAGACAGTCCCACAGGACACTTGGCAAATGGGCCTGGCCCGAACTCAAGCTCCTGTCTAGTCTTTGTAAATCTGCCTCTGCTTTCTTCTCTCTCCAGATCTCATGTCTCTGAGCCCACACACATTTGGACAAATTTAACCATAGACAAACAAGTGTTGGACTAACTGTGATTAAAATGTGTACTTTCAGATGACGCATGTGAACCCTGCCCTCTTCAATGCCATGAATATCAAATCTGAGATGGATGGACGGAAACCACGGGGGAGACCACTCAGAGGCAGGCCACTACCTGAACCAGGTGCTCAAGAGGTCCCTGCCTGACAAGCCCAATGAGATCTGGAGGACATATCTGCGCAGGTATGACAGTCAGGTTTAGATTTGTTCTCTTTAGGCTGTTTCTGGTTGTCGGAGTTACATTAAAAGTAAAACCTTTTTTATTTTAATCTGGACATCTGACTGACTCTGCTTGTCCTTGTTCAGGTTCGATACAGAGGACTTCTGTGAGGCTCACTGTGACTTCCTTCAGAAGGTGCACTTCCATTGCCTGGTGGAAGACTGTGGAGCGCTCTTCAGCACAGTGGACGGGGCCATAAAACACGCTAAGTGAGTGTCACCCCAAGTCATGATCAGGGAAAACACCATCTACATTTGAGAGTGGAGATTTATAGAGCTGTGTAAGAATGAGCTCCTGTTTGTTGTGCAGCTTTCACCTCCGGGCCACTTTGAAAGTGAAGTCTGAGGGCTCGTACAGTGAGAAGGAGTCTGGAGAGCCAGCTGCCCCAGTGTCCATGGCCAATAACCCCCCTGTGGATGTTTCTCACCTCAGCTCCTCAGGGGGCTACAGCTCGCCCCCTCCCTCCATGTTGGCATGGAAACAGCTGACCGGTACCATCCCTCAGATGGCCGCCTCAATGCCCACTCTTCCGGCCAGCTCCCCTCTGCCCACCACTTCGCTGGAGAACGCTAAGCCTCAAGTCAAACCGGGCTTCCTGCAGTTCCAAGAAAAGTAAGAGGAACATACTAGTGTTGAATTCTAGTTAACAGATATATTAGCTATTAAAGCTCCTTGTAGTAAACATCTATGGCCAATATAATGTTTTAATTTTTCCAATTGTCCTTTTTTGTCCAGTGACCCCTGTTTGGCTACTGACTGTAAATATTCAAACAAGTTTCACTTCCACTGCTTATTTGGGAACTGCAAATATGTCTGTAAGACCTCTGGGAAAGCCGAGTCCCACTGCTTGGACCACATCAACCCCAACAACAACCTGGTGAACGTGAGGGACCAGTTTTCCTACTACTCTCTGCAGTGTCTGTGCCCCAACCAGGTGAGCCCTGCACACAGCCAATCACTTCCTGTCAGCCACACACATTCTCACTGTGAAGTATGCTATCTATTAGAGCAGCATTTGAGCTTATTTGACTCAAGGCTTTCACAAGCACTGCTCCCCGTCTTCCATCTCCGCTGAAAAGACAGTCGACTCACCCCAGTAATGCCTGTTTATATGTCAATGATGTCATTTTGACTGCCGCATTCTCCTCTCAGAAAAGGCCAATTTAGCTGATATTACCCAATAAATCATTGTCAGTGGCACAGTAAACAAGGCTGTCTGGAATAGGGCAAAAATCAGGGGAATGCTCCGTAAATGAAACCTAAATGGCAGCCCGTGCCTGCTCTCATGAGCTCGTATTTGGAGAAGCGTTTAAATGAATTCATTAATGTGTTGAAAATCAGCCCTTCACCCCCCCCCCTCAGTGGCAGCACTCACACAGATCTTATTTGGGTTGTCCTTGGGGAGGGAGGGGGGCAGACAGATGGGGCTGCGCAGTGCCAGAGGAGGGGTCTGGGGCTCTGATGAGGGAAAGCGCAGGATTGTGAGGTGTGGATTATTTTGTGTGAAACTTTGAACACAGACATCAAACACAGTTAATCAGTGTCTGCAGCTCACACTCATCATGCCTGACTCAGGAAATTGAAATGATGCGTCTGGTCCACAGCACTGCGAGTTCAGAATGAGAGGCCACTATCACTGTCTGCGGCCAGGCTGCTACTTCGTCACAACATCACCACCAAGCTGCCCTGGCACGTCAAGAAGCACGAGAAGGCAGAGCGCCGCGCAGCCAATGGTTTCAAGTACTTCACCAAGCGAGAGGAGTGTGGCCGCCCGGGTAAGAGAACACACAAAACACTTACCAATGTACACGTCAAAATAGTTAGCCATATCAGGGCTCAACAACTAAACAACTAAAATCTAAAACTATCCAAAAGTGACCACGAGTGGACAAAAACATGACTCACGTCATGATTAATAAACTTTTCATATGGTGTCAAGGGTGAGTTTGCAGCAGTTTGCTTAGAAACCATGCTTAAATTACTGTTAGATTGGTTAATAACCAGGAAACCATTAGCCCAGCCCCATTGTTCAAATAAAGACAGTAACACCAGAATTCTAACTGGAAAGCTAATATTGACTTGTGTATATTATTACCTTTTTTTGAATGTGAGTCAATGGAAGGGAGCCAGGCGTCTAGGAGCCAAGACTTTATAACTTCCGGATCGGATTCAACTTCTACCCTTTAAGATGACGTGTGCCTGTTCAACTGGCTAGTTTTCTTATAACATAAGTCTTTCTGAATAGCATTCTTACTCTGGATTAAAGTATTATGTACTTAAGGCAACAATTGATTTTTCATGTGTGTTGTTAGCAGATACATTGTTTACACACTGGGTGCAACTTACTGTATGTTGGCAAACAGTAAGCATAGGTATGGCTTCTGTCTATTGCATATGCCCCCCTCCCAACCCCAAGTCCCTCAGGTATTCTTCCTCTCTCTCTCTGTATATGAGCAGTAACGTCAACGGGGGCAATCACATCCAGGTTGTTTTCTTCTTCCTTTTTGCCCCTGTCAGAAATGAGCAATTAGCTTTGTGTTTGTTAATTATCCGGCTTGTCTGGTTTAGCCTGTTTGTGTTGCGGAGCTGCGCCTCTCCGCCACCGCTGCCATCCAAATGAATTAAAAGTGATGTGTATTTTTTTCCTTTCTTTCTTTTTTCAGGCGGTTACACAAGCTTTTCAGAGCATAGGAACAAAGAAAACAAAAAAGCGGGCCCGAAACAGCTGTTTTTTGTCCTCAGTCCGATCTGCCAGGCGTATTGTTTGAGAGGATTAGGATTGCTAACACTACAGTCATAAAGAATTGATGGCTTGCCAGTATCCATGGCAGCAGCACTAAATTGAACATGGCTGATGATGCTACCTGGATTGGGTCGCAACAAAAGGGCCCTGCGTGTCACGGGGGTTAACATTATTTGCTCAACTTGCAGCGTTTGGAGCGGTGTGCAAAAGCGATTTGATGACACAGGGCTGTTTGTGCTCCTAAAGCAGGCGCCATGGTTACTGACATGCTAGCACCTGCCCAGCATGTAACTCTTTCAATTATTTCTGCCTGCTTTTATATAATGGTATTTGATTAACAGGCACAAAACGGAACATTCATTTAATTTGAAATCATAAAGCAATTAGAGCTATGGCGCTTAAAACAAGAGGAAAGCGGATAGGCGAATAGGACACAGACAGCAGGAGAACAAAAGGCAAAAATGACAATAGAGATACTTTGAAAAATGAATTTAATATGGTAATAATTGTATATTTACTTTGGTTTGCAGGGGCGTGTGCGCATTATTGGCCCGCCGAAAATGAGAATTTATTTATGTAAATTCCTAATTGAATAAAGCATGTCAGTGTAATAAAAGAGCTCCACAGGTTTAGTGCAGAGAAGGCTTGACTTCTCAGTGTGACACCACAGTGATCTAATATTCCTCCTACATGTACACTCTACACAAACACTTGGAAATGCAATCCCTCTTTAGTCACCAACTCATAGAAACTACAAATATTTCACTTCAGATTCAATTTAATAACCACTCACGGAGAGGATAATGTATAGCACAGTGGTACAGATTGAAACCAATGAAAACCAAGATTAAAGAATAAACATGAGTACACTGGATTTCATAAGGGCAAAGTTGCTAAGAAATAAACCTTTGAATACTTTTACTTATCAGTAGCTTTGAGACAGGCTCGTGGGCAGGAAAAGATTTGTGTTCCTATAAAACAATAACAGAAATGTATGCATAAAATAGTAGATTACAATTACTAGTTCCAGCAACGTATTGCAGCAGATTCCAGGAATTATAGGTCATCATTACTACACAGTAGACTGACAGAGTTATGCACTAGTCATTTACAAATTCACTGTTAGAAATTAAGAGAATCCAACCCACAACCTCCCTTATTTCTTATACTGCACGAGCTTGGTTGTATGTGTTTTTGTATGTTTAGTCGCATTCAGTGTAGACCAAAGCGAAGCCAAAACATGCAAACAGACCAAAAAGTTCAATATAATAAATAGTAAAGGACAATACATCTGCTTTTTGTTTGGTAATACTCGGTATTTATCATAATACTGATACCAATGCGTTTGTTTGAAATGTATTGAAACTCATCTGCTCCTCCTCTTTATTTGCACTCCACCCCTGCTTAAACTGATCCAACAGTTGTTGTCAGAGTATGTGCAGAGAAACTGAAACATAAGTTATTTCAAAATGTATTAATAACTAATAAAAAAGTATTTGTATTTCAGAATTGTTAGTATTTATATTTTCTACATCAAGATAATCAATACTACAACATTTTCAACATGGCATCATCTCTTTCTTTAGGCTGCAAGTACAACCAGGTGAATAGCCACTTCCACTGCATCCGTGAGGGCTGCCAGTTCTCCTTCCTGCTCAAGCACCAGATGACCTCACACGCTCGCAAGCACATGAGGAGGATGCTGGGAAAAAACTTTGACCGAGTCCCATCCCAGGTACAAAATACAGCATACTAGAAAAACTACAGACAAACAGCCTCTATTGTCAGATGCCAATCTCAAAAAGAGGGTTATTATCTCCAAATATGGGCTGCGCACCTCGGGGGACTATAACAGGTGTTGAATTGTTTATGGAAACATCTGGAAACAAAGCCAAGTACCTCACACGCCCTCTGCTATTGTCAGCCATTTTATCCCATTTTAAACTCTTATGTAGGTTAATGGTAACAACTTTAACTTAACGCATAGTAAATTGGTGAATGAATTCAAGCCAAAAAAAGTGTTGAAAGTCAAAACAAAAAAGCAACAACATATACTTAAACCTATAATTAATATTAAGCTTTCTAAAATACCTATATTCAGTCACAGTGTTAGTGTTGCTTCCTGTCATATGAGTCATATTGGTAAAAATAAGCAGATTGGCGCCAATATCTTGTCACACCAGTCAATTGTAATCCATGCATGACATTCTCGAGACATATTTCACAGTCGGCTGTACTTTATTTCCTAAGTTAACCTCTTGTGGGCGAAGCTAGATACATCAAAACATGTGGATTTACTTGTTTCCATTGTTGCTTTTCTTTTCAAAGTCACCCTATAATGACAGAAGTATGACGTTTGTACTTTCTTGCTAAATACCTCTGTGTGCAAATATTTGGTTTTATGCCAGCAACCAACACCTGTTTTTGAGAACTTGTTCTTTTTTGGGACATGTTTGTTGAACAGGCAGTGCTTTTGCGTGCGAGCAGAAAAGGTTGATTTATGACCTAATTTGATTATTACATTATTATTAACTTTTTATTTGAATGACACACCTGGAAAGTGCCATATATTTGAACTATTGTGGCAGGATACAGCATATTAGAATTGGGATTATACAAGAAGCATACAAAATATGTTAGAAACAGTCTTACATGTAAAAGAGCACTGCCTGTCTTGTGTTCCACAGTATAGCATTAAATAGTTACATAGTGCTCTTTAAAAAAATAAAATGAACCTTTTTTCTTAGGTAATGCTTCCTTCCTTTGGTAAACTTTAGACATTAGAGTACTAAGGAATAATTATTTTGATTTGAAGTCTAACCAAATTGCTATGTTCTTTCTAGGTGCTACCTTTGGGTCACAGGGCGGATGACATGCAGCACTCGTCCAGCCTGGTGTCTGGTCCAGTCCCCAGTCAGACCAGCCTCTCCGCCAGCTTCTCCAACACCTCCATGGACGAAACAGAAGACTACGTGGACTATGCTGGGGGCAGCCCTCTGGGTCTGTCCTCAGAATCCTCCAACCAGGACCGGAGTTGCACCAGCACACCAGTGGGCAATGATGCCTCACCTGCAGGTAAGCTCACCACTGAAATAACCACATTCTCAAGATTGCCATTTCACACATTCTTCAATCATGTTTTTGATTTACTTCTATTTGAATCAATAGCATAATGATACATCAGCCAAAATATTAAGAGAAAACCATTACAGTTTTATTGGACAGTCTCATAAAGCATCCTTTTTGCACTTGAGGCCATTGTAGATAATTACATTGTCCACTGGCCGGAAAACATCCCCGTGGCATTTTGTTTACTTGAGCAGTTTTACTGACCTGGGGCTAAATGCATAGATCACCAAACAGTTTTTCATCTTAATATTTATTTTAGTGTTTGCTTTGTTTTCTATCTTAGCCTGTCTGCAAACTTCACATTTCACATGCAATATATGATCTATTTTACTATTATTCTCATCATGTTGTTTTGGCTGGTGTTTGGGTAACTTGTCTTGAATGGGGCTCATTTTGTATCATCTCTTCTCTTTTATCTTTCCCTTTTCTACCTCCCATCCCTGTGTCTGTGACTGTGTTTGTGGATATGTGGGTGTGTGTTCCCCTCTGTCTGTGTCCCCCTCCACCCCTTCTGGTCACCCTGTCTCTCCAGGACAAGGCTGCCCCACCACACCTTCTGCTCCCACCACCCCTGCTGACACCACCCAAACAGCACCTCCTTCTCCTCCTCCTCCTCCGCCTCCTCCTTCTCTTCCTCCTCCAGCTCTCCCCGCCCTCGCCCCTCCTCAGCCGGGGCTCCAGGCTCCGGCCCTCCCCCCTGCCCTTCTGCGCCCGCCCCTCTCCTCACTCCCATACCTCCTGTCTCCACCTTGTCTGTCATACTCTCTGCTCAGCGCCTCTCTGGGAGCCACTCGGAGTGTTGTCATGCCAACCAACACACCAGCTTACAGCCCCATCATTGCCACTCCGTCTCCGGTTAAAAATGACGTCCCTATAGTGCAGGATGCTGCAGGTACTTACCCCGGCGCAAACCAACACTGCAGCTGTCACTCAGGCCAGGCCTCTCTGCACTTGTGTTTGTAAAGCATGCCCAGAGGAAACATGAGGAAAGTGCATGCACAAAACAAACATGTACATGAACTCACTGACTCTTAACTGGGAGAATCCACTCAAGCAATAGCCGCTATATTACAGATAAAGGCGTCCTGCTGTACCAAGCACGGCCCTGGTTAGCTTCCATTAACTGGGCTGCATCAGCAGTCTCTTATTTTAATCACGCCGCAAGTTTTATCGAAGCCCACTGCTTCCTGTCTCGCAGAACAGGGAGCACATCATTAGCAGTGACCCTAGGGTGTTGCAAAAGGTGGGTGCCCCCCATAAAACAACATAAAGATAAGAGGGTTGGTTAAGACCCACAGCTCTCTGTGTGTTTGGAGGCTAAGACACCCTGTAAAAGTGTCATGTTTCAAAGTCAATCTATCATTCGCTCTCTTTTAATCATTCAGGGAATTAGGAATTCTAAAAGTGTGGCTCCCTGTGCTTACTCAGCTGTGAGTAAGTTACATTAGAGCTGCAGCAGGAGGCTGTGGCTGCCATGATATGTCTATTGTCTGCAGCTTTGCTTTGGTATCACTCACCGTTTCCTGTGCTTCTCCTCCAGGCAACACTATCTCCATTCCCACGGCCACCGGGGCCAAGAAGCGCTTCTGGATCATCGAGGACATGTCCCCTTTCGGCAAGCGCCGCAAGACCGCCTCTTCGCGCAAGATGCTGGATGAGGGCATGATGTTGGAGGGCTTTCGCCGCTATGACCTCTATGAAAACTGCAAAGATATCAACTGTCAGTTCTCTCTGAAGGTGACCCACTATCACTGCACCAGGGAGAACTGTGGGTACAAGTTCTGTGGGCGCACGCACATGTACAAGCATGCCCAGCACCATGACCGTGTCGACAACCTGGTCCTGGACGACTTCAAGCGCTTCAAGTCCTCGCTCATCTGTAACTTCCCTGACTGCCAGTTTTCAGGGAACAGCACCCACTTCCACTGTCTGCGCTGTGGCTTCCGCTGCACAGACAGCACTAAGGTGACGGCCCACCGCAAACACCACGGCAAACAGGACGTGATCAGTGCAGCCGGCTTCTGCCAGTTCAGCTCCAGTGCCGACTGTGAGGTGCCCGACTGCAAGTACAAGCTCAAGTGCTCGCATTTCCACTGCACCTTCCCTGAGTGCAAGCACACTGTTGTGGGCATGTCCCAGATGGACTCCCACAAGAGGAAGCATGAGAAGCAGGAGCGTGGAGAGCTGCCCTCAGTCTCACCCAAACAAGAAGGACACCATCTGAGCGGAGTAGTGTCAGCAGTCACCCCTGTGTCTATGAGCATGTCCCACATGAACAGTACCCCCTCCATGCTGTACCCGGGGGGAGCCCTGGGCTCAGACTACAGTCACCCATACCCCCCGTCCTCTATGGGCATGGACACGGCCCTGGACAGCTCCCTGAATCTGACAGACACCAGCAGCTCCATGTTCTTCCTGAAGAACGCCGCTGGGCTGGGCCTCAACGACTCCCTGGACCTCAGTAAAAAGATGCTCCAGGACACAGGCCTGTCCAACCACTCCTCCACCCCCCTGAGAGGGGGCTCTGGCCCGGACGACACCACTGGGACCTCCGGAGAGGCAGAGGATGACCTGTCTCCCGAGGAGGAGGACATGAACTCTGACTCAAATGACGACTCAATGGTGGAGGGCGATAGAGAGAAGGACAGTGCAGAGGCTCTGAGTGCTTCCGTTAACCACTCTTCCCCACTGCAGAGCCCCCCAGTGGAACAGCAGGAGCCCTGAACTCTAAGTTAAGACTGAGAAGTGAGAACAAAGACATGGAGGCCGCACACATCCTGTTCAGACTTGTACTCAAACTAGTGACGGCCCACACTGATTAATGATCATGTTTACAAGGTGACCAACATTATTAATTCAATTATGCATTAAGAAAAAATATGAACAGAGACACAGTCATAGGCCCCACTTTTACAAATAAGGGGGCAGCAATGTAAAACATTTTACTACACATCAGTCTTTTGTGTGGGTGCATGTTTGACTTTAATTTATTTTTATTTTTTCACTTTATTATGTGTGAAAAAAAACAAGAAAAACAAAAACAAATCTCTCTATATAACTATATATGTAAGTGTGTGTGTGTGTGAACGATGATCTAAGGAGAAAAGTGCTGTGGATATTCTATAAGCAAAGGCAAGCGGATCACCAAGGGGAATACCCTCAGAGGTTTTGATCTTTTCTGTATTATGAATAATAATAATAATATTAATATTATTAGACATTGTGAGGAAGAGTATAAAGCTCCTTTTCTCGGATGTTTTACTTTGTTCTCAATCTGGATTTGACCAGTAGCTGTTTGGTCAGTCTCTACAGTTCTCGTGACATTCTGCTAGCTGTGTCCCACTAGCACCAAAAACCAAGCTAAGTCCCTGTAATGTACCCCTCCTGTACTGGGCCCCACCCAAGGGCCCCTCAGAGGAATCAAGTCTGTGTGTGGATAGTGCACTTTTCTATATTAGCTGACCATTACAAACATAGAGAACTCCTGCTCATATTTAAGACTATTTTTGTTACCGTTGGCATCACTGCATTAAATTGTCATTTTGTTGTGTTATAGTTAGATGCATATCGATTTGGATGAAGCTGTATTTAAATCAAAACGGGAGGGTTGGGCTGCCCACAGGAAGTAAAGAGACATTTGGATGCAGTGGGATATTTCAGCACCGGGAAAGTAGTTTTATGTTGAAAATGTACAGACCCAAAAATGTCCAAATGGCATTGTTGGTTTTTTTCTTTTTCACTTTGGCTGTGGTTGAACTCCTGTTAATGTTATGCTTTTAATTTAATATTTATGTGACCTTCCAATGAGACATTTTTAGGGTGTTATTGCACTTTTTAGGTTCATTTTTACCGTCAGAAAAATATGATATATATCTTTTAACAGGGAATTTGCTTTAATGTTGTTTTAGTTCACTTTGCTTTGATGCACAAATAGATGTTAGTGTGACAAAGAACTCTTGTTATGTGACTTATTTAAAAACTGGTTTTTATTTTTTGATTTTCTGTGATTGGATAAAAATGGACCGCCCCTGACATGGGTGTGGCTTGGTTAGGAACACTAATATGGACTGTAATTGAAGAGGATTGTGAAGAGGCTGACTTACTGTAGTTCTAAATTATTATTATTATTATGTATTGAACAGTGGACACACGCAAAGGGAAGATTTCCAGAGCTTGGCATTGGAAAAATAATCACAATAGGGAAAAGTGTGTGTCAATGATATTCCACCAAACATTGTTTTGAAAAAATAAAAAAATGGTTGTACAGTATTTTCCTCTGTAAAAAATAACTATATATGAACAAAATGCTCTTTGATGAACAGCTTCCTTTAAAAAGAAAAGTCGTAAAAGGAGAAATGAAATAATAAAAAGTTCAAAATTCAAATAGCCTCACTTTAGTTTGCTTGTGTGTGTGACTTTACTTTCTGTTGGTCCAACCATCTGGAAGACCATGGTCAAGCAGAATTATGGTTTACTGTCATTTTGTCAAAACTCAGTTTAAAACTACACAAACATTCTGTTTTATTAATAAGCATTTTTGTGTGTTATATTTTTTTCTTTAGATGAAAATATTTTCTTTGAGCTCAAGCCTCACAGGCCGAGTCACCCAGCCTCCCTTCAAAGTCCTGTGCACTTGAATTTAGTTTCTTTTTGTGTGTGCAGCTGTGAAATAGCAGAATTTGTATAAAAGTTGACATTAAATAAACTATAAATACAGATACACTGTACTGTATAGTGTTTGAAGCCTGCGAGCAGACCTAACATGCGAGCGGCGCTCCAAAAGAGGTTCCTCTTGGCTCTGTCCCAGCTCCGATTCATATTTCATGACCTTGTGCTTCTCCCTCTGCTTTGTTCTGCCATTAATCCAACTGGAGTGATACAAAGCACAGCAGCCCTGCCTCTGTGCAGCCACAGATCAGTGTTTCTCCATCAGGACCAGAACAGAACACCTCTGTGTGGGTCCAGCCTCAGGCCCTGCTCCTGCTGCCCTATCTCTCCTCTGCCTCGCTCGCCCAGTGTCTCTCTCTCCTTTGCCTCGCTCGCCCTGTGTCTCTCCGCACTCCCGTCCAGTGGCCCGGGCGTCACTTGTTCTGTCCCGTCTACAGCTGTTCCTGTCCTTCCTGCTTCTTCTGAGGCTTTTTCTAATAAAAAGACAGACATGGGTAAAGGCATCACCATCTGTCAGCCAGCTGGCTCCTGTATATAATCTACCAGAAAAAAATGAATAAACAGAAAATTATATTACACTAAAACCAGACGGAAACGACCTCCAAATCCAGCTTCAGCTTCTGCTGAAACGACAGATCCTTTTACAGGAGAAATTAATTCTGTAAGAGATGGTGCACAGAAGTGGTGAAGAAACAGGGAGATGTATTTCCAGAGCTGGAGAATGTAATCTGAAAGGCGCCTGCTCACTGCAGCAGCCACATTTTAGACTTTGTAAAATATATTGCACTTTTGGACTAAAAGCCATCTCCCGTTAGCATTCAATTTAGTGAGATTCATGAGACGTTTTCTATGAGAAGTTGACAAAGAAGCAATTTTGTAAGTCTCCACTTGAATTTGTTGCCCTCAGCACTACTCTCTTCAGTGTTTCATATTTATTTCCTTGGAATCAGTGCTTTCCATCTTCATTGTGCTATATTTATGTTTTCTCTGTTTGTGCATGTCTTATGCAAAGATTGAGCTTTTCACTCAGTGAAATAAAAACATACTAAACCAACATGAGCTTCCTGTCTGTGAGTGTCTGTGACAGGTGCGTACTTCATGAAACACAGAGTGTACACTGTAAATGCCCTGTGAGCGTGCACGAGCACGTGCACATGCTCGAGCATGAAGGGCTGATGTGCCAGGAGCAGACTGGGAGAGTGCGACAGGTGTGCTCTGCATATGTGGTCACATGATGCCTATAAGGCACATTAGGCCCAAACAGATGAAGCGCTGCTTAATGGCAGCTTTTATTAAGTTCACAAAGCACAGAGGGAGGGGAATAGAGGGAGGGACACTGAGGGAGGGGGCAAAGGAAGAGCAGGTGGCCATGTCTCTGCTCCTCAGATAAAGACAGATACTGTACAGTGAGTCTGAATCCAAGCTACGATTTATGAAGACAGAAGCTGCTACAGGCCATGGACGAGCCGGGAGCATAGACCAATATGACAGAGACACACACAATAGTAGAAAAAAACAACACATCCTAGAACAAAACAAGAAGGAAAAGGCAACCAGATTTTTACTAGTAACAAACATATTTGTGATTAAAAACACATTTGTATTTGTCATGCAGTAGCCCTATTTGGTTTGCTAGGAGAGTGTTAGCTTCTGCTAAAAGTGCTTCATGTGGACAAACCCCCTGCTCCACAAGTCTGTTTTACAGCAGACAGACCAGTGTCCTGTGTGTCTCACAGATCAAGTGTATTTGAACTCATTCCACTTGTTCATCTGTGCTTCAGATTATAGATGTCTCTCATCTCCCTGGTGCGCTGCCCCAGTCAGACCCCTCTTTACATCCTCGCCCTCTCCCAATAGCTCTTCATTTATCTATTTTTGCATGTGTATGGGCTTATTTTGGAGCGCCCTCATCACACAGCAGAAAGAGGGGGCAGCTTCACCATTGGTAGCAGCTGTTGCGCCTGAGACACCTCTGAGGAAACACAGAATTGGACACACAGTCATCCAATTTAACATTAACAAGACCTTATTGGAGGCAGGGGCCGTCGGAACATGTGGTTTGGCCTTATGTAGCTCTGCGTGAATGGCCCTGGCATCTGTGAGAGCAGCACACAGAGCAGCATTCTCAAGTGTGTTGGCTCAAATCTGGCCTGATACAAATTGTTGAGGTTGAGTAGAGCAGGAGGAAAATGCAGTCAATCAGTGTACTCTCGTCACAAAATAGTATTACTGAAAAAGAGGTAAAAGTTGTCATCATGGGTCTCTCGATCTCCAGTCAGTCCACGTTATTCTCACCCATGGTCAGGAGTTTTGAGTAATGACCGAAAGAACAAGATCACAGATACAAGTGGTTGAAATGAGTTTCCTCCACAGAATGGCTGGGCTCTCCCTTAGAGAGAGGGTGAGGAGCTCAGACACACACGAGGAGCTTGGAGCAGAGCTGCTGCTCCCCCTTATTGAGAGGAGTCAGCTGAGGTGGCTCGGGGCATCTGCCCCCGCCCTGCACCATAAAAGCGGAAGAAGATGGATGGATGTACAGCCAGGTTTTGTGTCTCTGTATAGAACAGAAAAAATTAAACATTAAAAGTTTTAAGGCACAATGAAGGGTCTGTGGTCATAAAGCAATTGTTTTCAGTTCTGTAGTAATCTGGTTGAATAAAGACTTCAGAAACGACCATATCTGTTTGGAAATCAAGTCTCGTACACACAGCTCTAAGCTCTAAGTGACACTACAGCAAAATCAACGTAAGAAGAAGAAGAAGAAGAGGAAGAACAGGTCGACTTTATATAGTACAAATTTCCACTCACGTTGGAGAGCTACTACTAAAACCACAGATCGGAAACTTTTATGATGGAGGCATGAGATAGTTTCAAGATCAAAGTTCTGAAAAAAGAGCCATTTCCACCACTTTTATATTTTCCACTGGTCGTCTCCAACCACAACTGAAGATCTGTGTTGTTTTAGCTTAGCAACCACCGGTCAAACTGCACTGACCTCATCGCACTTAAATGGGTGAGCTTAAAAACATTGGTTAAATAGAGAACTTTTAATACAAAATACTATTTATGATTGTGTCATCATGCATAATAAAGAATAGTTTTGACAACTACTCAACATTGCCTATGAAAAACAAAACCTAAACACAGTGCAGTTTTGTTTCATATGACTTAAAGCTGCAGTATGAGACTTTTCTTGTGGAGGGTCGGCCACTTCACACTTGTCTCAATAGAGATGTAACTTCTTTTTGCCTACACTGTTCCACAACATGGCCTTAACCTTTTCCAAGGAGACAAGTTGATCATACCATTAGGCCCATAAGTCAGATCTGTGGAGAGGCAAGTCAGAGTGTATGCTGGACCACCCACCTGAAGTTTCATAGTGCACCTTTAAGTTGATATGAAACTTGAAATAAATGTAATTACTTTTCAGTGTAATGTTGATACAAAGAAAATGATTATCTACTTAAAACATATACTTAATATAATTCATTATTAAATATTTAGATGGAAAAGAATGATCAATAAAATACTACTACTGTAACAGTTTTGACTAGAAATAGTAGTCTTGCATGAATCCTTGTTTAAGTTTAATACAAAAAAATTAAATTCAGCAATTGTTTCTTTACCACCTGTCCTTATGGTTTGCGTCTGACCTAACCACATTTTTCCATCAACACACCTCACATTCTTTACATTGAGGTGTATCTCCAAATCTTTGCCTTTCAACACACTTTTTCTGGCCGGACAAAGATGTTAACAATGCATTCTTCTCCTCACAGTTTGAGCACAGGGCTGGTCCAAACAAACATGGAGATTATTAATGGGGAAAACCTGCAAAACTGGCCCCGGTGATGCCAGGTCACAGTGATGCGGGTCAGAGGCTCAGAGTGACGTGGAATGGTATAAAAACATATTTGCGTTTCAGTGGAGTCAAGAGAAAGCAAAGTGGTGTATTGTATTGTTCAGGTTAGGCTTAAGGTAGATTAGATTGTGCTTATGTAGAAATTTTGTTCTCTGTTTTTGAATATTCCTAGATTTGTACCTTTCTCCAGAATCGTGGCCAGAAGTGACTAGCTTGTAGACATTTAAACAGTGGAAAGATGAAGCATGTCCATCCTGTATCTGGACCCATAGAGTATACGTATAATGTATAACATATAACCCTTAACTTGGGATGTTTTTCTAACCATGTGTTACCACAGGAGTGCATATAAAGTTGCCTTTAAAATGTCTTATATTACTCCAAATTGACTTTTGTGAGCCATGTCATAATGTTGTTACCTCCTCAAAAACATACCTGGAGTTGTGTTTCATTTCATTCTCACATGACTGAATAATTCTTTATTTTTGGTTTGTCTACATCAAAACTCTTGGCTCCACCTTCAGATGTCATGAAGCTGTAGCTTTCAAGTTAACAGCTACTTTTAAACTTTAACTTCTATAAAAAGTGTGTGGAGCTCTTCCTGTACAGTATTACCACATGACATCACAAGGTAGAACAGAGTATTTTGCATTTGAGAGAAATATTCAGCCTGAATATGCAGGGTTTGTGTATTAAACATGTGTAAATGAAACAAAACACAACTCCAGGTAAGTTTCTGATGAGGAAACAATATTATAACATAGAGAACAGAAATTTGTCTACTAAGAAATGTGCACTAAGGGCACTTTATATAACTTGATGTTTGACTTCAGTGGCAAGATAATTAAACTGTACTTGTTCATATACAAATCTGCAAAATGGCACTCATCCAGTTTACATAATTTGACTACTATTATTTTATTTATTATTGTTATTACTATAATATTTGCTCTTTTATTAATCATTGTTTATATAATGTATTTCTGAGTTGCTGTCCCCATGTTAATTTTCCTTCTGAATCTAAATGGTTGGTTTAAAATGGTTCAACAAAATTACTGAGTTAGAGACTGAATACAAAAAGGACGTTTCCAATAATGTGTTGTTGGGACTAAACTGTGACTTAATTTGAAGTGTGCACATTTAGATAAAGCTCTGTGTTTGGGAGCTGGGGTGGTGGGCTTCTGTTACAGTGGAGATGTTATTTGGTAAACACGGGGTTGTCATCTTCCAAGCACAAACACAATCCAGTGGAAAGATTAGCGTCCCCGTCCTTTAAACAGCTCGTGAAAAATGAGCCTCCATCGGCGCCCTCCACAAATGTTTACCCAGAAATACCAAACATTGTGTTCTATTTGTTTTACTTTGCCTTGGGTTTGCCCACTGCAGCAGATTAGTCAACCCCAGAGCTAAACACTGAATAAACAGCTACCATAGAACAAGTGCAGCAAGATGGTGGCTGGTGTCAAGCCTTGTAGCCATTAGAACCTTCAAGTGGTGAGATCTGTCCTCAGGTGTGAATGTTATGCACAGCATTGATGGTTGAGCTTTTCAAACCAAGTAATAAATGTCTTCAGAAAAAGTCTGTAAGGGCAAACTGACTGACAAACCTGGATCACAGCAGAGATAAAACCAATAGAATTAATTCCGATAAAAGTAAGCAGAGAATGACAGCCAGTTGTGTCCAATGCAGGGCAGGTGCGGATGTTAATGAATTTTGGTTGTAAAATTTTGCATGGAGCAGACAAAACTGTTTTAAAACCACCAAGAGAAAGGGTGCATTTTTGACTCGCCGGCGGATATGAAAATTTAAACCTTACACTAATCACTCTGCTTTACATAATATTTTTTCTACTTCTTCATAGAAATATACTGGATTCCTGCTTAACTGGAAGTGCCAACAAAACAGTGCAGTTTTCAAAGTGCAGTTTAGAAGCTGTCAAATGTAAAAGTGGGCAGGGCCTGACCAACTGTGAGGAGAGAATGAATAATGCTCCAAAATCTGAGAAACTTGAGAGGTACACTATGTGCTTGGCTCCATGGCAATTCCATCATTTTGCATTGAAAATTACACAGTATGGCATTAAACATGCTATCTCCATGGAGACGAGCCAGTGGTGTC